AGCTCCTTCTCGGAGCTGCTCCGCGTGGCGCCTGTCATTCAGCTCGTGCTCTTCATGTGAGGTGGCGGGGGCTAGTGGTTGGAATTGGGAGAGTTGGGCTCACTCCTCAGTTGTGGGAGGGAGTGGGGGTTAGTAGTTAGAATGGGGATACTGGGAGTCTGAAGCCCTGAGTTCTCTTCTGGCTCATGGCCACTGTGTCCAAGGAAATGTGGAGGAGGGAGGGACGTAAGGGGGATGAGAGGACAGACTAAGGCAACTGAAGTAAAGGGGAAGGACCTGGGTGACATTTTATCCACTTTCCCTGTAGTGCACAGAAGTACCTAACTGCTTTCCCTTGAAGCATCAGTTACTAGCTGGCTTTGCTGGTGTGCTGGAGGAGGGTAGTAGCTGCAGGGAGAGGCTGGTCTAGTGGCTCCATTCCATGAGCCAGCCTTTGTTCTTGGCACTAGGCCAAGTGTCTGTTACATAAAGATCTGTGGAAGAACATCTGTGTCTGCCCAGATCAATTATGAAAGCAGCAATTTACTGCACTAGGAAGGGCTTTGTGGGTCGGAGGGACAACCCAGACCTGGCTGCTTCTCCTCCCAGAGGCCTAGTGCACAGTGTTGGTCCCGGGCAGGCTTTGTGTAGGCCACGGCAGCTGGGACGCCTCCGGGGCAGAGGGCAATGCTTACGTTGGCACATTGGGCCCCAGGGAGGGCTGTGGTCTCTGGAAGTGGCTGTGTGCTCAGGACATCTCTCTCCCCACAGCATCCAAGATATTGCCATCCTCTTCAACATCATCATCATCTTCCTCATGTTTTTCAACACCTTCGTCTTCCAGGCTGGCCTGGTCAACCTCCTCTTCCACAAGTTCAAAGGAACTATTATCCTGTCAGCGGCTTACCTGGCTCTGAGCATCGCCTTCCATGTTTGGGTCATGGTAAGGCGGGGCTGGGCTTTGGGATCTCACAGGGGGCATAGGAATAGCTGTACACATTGGTCTAGAAGATGGGTGGCTCACTCTCTTCTGGAGCAGTTGGTTTCGGTAGCCGGGTTTGGTTCTTTAAAGGATTTGAAACCACAGACCAAGGAATACTTCTTTTTAGGGTTAAACAAAGATTTGTATTTTCTATTTACTTTTATAATTAATTTTTCATTTAAATCAATTAACTGTCTTTGATTCTTTTAAGATAGCATAACGTACAAATAAAAAGTAGAAAAACAATACAATTAAAAAACAAGAAATAATAACTCCTCCTACAGCTATACCCTCCAGATTTACCTTTAAACAATTTGTGGAGTTATCAAATATATAATACTCACGTTAAGAAAGATAGAAGCATTGTTTAGATTCAGGAGATATTCTTTTCTTTATGTTTCTCCTTTTTTGGGATTTTTCGTTGCAACTTACGACCAGTGTTGTTCCCCTTTCGGAGCTTATGTGTGGCAGCGAAATTCAGTGCCGGGGAGGGAGCCCTGGTTGATCAGGCCTGGCTTTTTGGATTCGCAACCCATCTGCTCTTGGTCTGTTCCATCCAACCTTATATACCGTATTTCGGTATTCCTCCACTCGCCTGACAATTGCTGACGTTAGATTTTTGTTGTCTCATTCTGCCCTTTCAAAACTTTCATCTGCTCCATTAGGAGTTATCAGCACTTTGTTGCATATTGCAGTCTGTGTTACTTACTTCCCTAAAAGCGGGGTTACTGTTGGTCATCCAATCAAATTTTGTTTTTTTATCTTGCATCTCCTGTATCTCACAATGCTGCTTTTCCTTTACACTTACTACTAAACTGGTGCTCATTTGACATATTCTGGGTAGGCCTCAACACCTTCCTTTCACAGTTGGAACCTTGATGCATCTGGTATGATATCCACTTCCTGTACTCCCAGACCAACCAGCTGGCCTGATGTTCTGCTCCCTGCTAAACACCAGACCATCTGCTCACTGCTAAACCCCCTCTGACATGAAGGTTTAGAGAAGAGCAAAATCTGCCATCGCGCACCAAGCCAGTCCTGCCACAGGCTGTAAGCAG